GCTGAGTATGAGTTACTTTGAGGTGTGTCTGTGTGTCTGTTGTATGTCTCTGTGTGTGTGACCGCGTGTACACATTTCTGACTTTTGAAGGGGAAGGTCTGTGCCTCTGTGAGCCTAGGAAGCTTCTCACTCCAGCCCTGCTCTGCAGGTACCCTCACAGACTCGGGCTCAATCCCCCACCCAGCTCCCTCTGGCCACCCTGATGGCTTTCCCACCTTGGTGACCTGGAGCCTCCAGGGACAGGACCTGTGACCTGTGGCTGTAAATGGCCATGTGGGAACAGCTACCATCCCTGCTTTTCCCATCCTCGCCTGGAACCAGCCAACTCCTTCCTGCCTCCCACAAGCCTCAAAGGCCTTATCCTGGCTGAGCTCAGCTGGCTTCTCCTCTGGCCCCTGGGACCCATGCTCTGACCCCAGCTGGGTGTGCATGTCCAGCTCTGTCCCCTGTCAGTGCGCTGAGGCCTTTTGTATGTCTAGCTCAGCCCACTCTCAGCCTATCTAGCTCAGGGTGAGGATGACTTTGTCACATCAAGAGCCCTGAAGCCTAGTTTTGGGAAGCCTCTTGCAAAGTGACACTACCCACCGCTGAGGGCCTGTGCTGGGCACAAAACAAACCTGGTCATCAGCACATTGGGGGATGAGGCAATGCTTAGTGTGTGGAGATAGTCAATGCTCTGGCTGGGGACAGCTGGAGGGACAGAGGACACAGAGGGCGCTGGGCCACTCCCCCCCCTTGGGTTGATCCCTGGGGGTCCTGAGGTGTAGTACTGGGCTTTAGGGGCCTGGACCAGCTCCTGATGCTAAGATGGAAACTTCTCCACCAGCCAAGTCCGAGTCTTGGCCAGCGGCCACCAGACTCCCACAACCTCCGTCTGGGCCTCCACCCTTGAACAGATCATTCCCCTTGGGAGCAGTGACTGCCCAGGGAGGGAAGGGGGCCAGCTTTGGGGGACAGGGGTGGAGGAGAGTCTGGGGGCAGTTGTATGACGTTCTAGAGTCATGCAATCTGAAGTTTGAGCCTCTTCCTCACTTCGTGATCTTGGGCCAGTGTCTTGAGCTCTCTGATCCTTGAGTTTCAAAACTGGAAAGTGGGCACAGAGCAGACTGGGGAGGAAGAAGTGTTGCCTGGAGTACTGGGGGAGACATCCCAGGAGCCTGTGAAGGAGCGGAACTAATTCCTGGGTAAATACCACAGGCAGGTGAAGGAGCCTCAGTTCCAGTGCCCCAGCACTGTCCCACCTCTGCCTCAGCTTTGACCCTGGGGCCAGCAGGCTCAAACCAGCCATAGGTGACAGGTGCCCAGGGTGCCCCTTGCTTCTCGCCAAGCCTTAGTTTCTGCACATCTGTGCCCTGGGGAGACCACAGTCCTGACCCATGGCCTTCACTGCTAGTGCAGGAGGTTCAGGGCTCAGTTCTACCCACTCCACCTCTCAGGGGCCCCAGCGTGGGACAAGGAAGGTTTAAAAATAAGCATTGTAAATACCCATGTTCCCTGCACATAGAACCAGCCCCTAAGTCCCCTTGGCCTCCTGGGCAGCCAGGCCTTGACAGCTCCTTTGAGGGGGGTGAAGGCTGGTTGGCAGAGGTGCCCTCATGCACCCCTGTTCCAAGCTGCAGTGTGAGTCAGCCACTGTGACGAGGTGTCTGTGTCACCGCATGTCCAAGAGGTGAAAAAGTGTGTGGGTTGGTGACAGAGAGTGGCTGGGGTGCTGGGTTGTGTCTGAGGGTGTCACACTAGTGTCTCATCTGACCACATGGAGCCGGCCCTGAGCAGAGCTGGGTCTCGGGGGGTGTAAATGTGATAGGGTGTCCTCCACATGTGTTTGTATCAGTGTGTATATCCTTGAGTGTGACACACTCCTGTGGTGGAAGGTGGGTGTGGATCCTGGAGTCCCCACCTCCTGTCTTCTGTCCCGCCCATCCCAGAGGAAGAACCAAGTCTTTCAAGTTGCTGTTGCCAGGGCAACCATTTTATGAGTGTCCACATGGTAGGCACATGTGCATGTCCTGCTCCCCATGTGCCTGCACGCCCCCTCCCCCAAGGCCCCCAACCGCAGTGGGGAGGGGGACACAGGCAGTGTGGGGTGAGCAGGAGGCAGCCACGGGGCAGCTGGTGACAGCTTATTGTGGCTGGAGGGGTGGGGGTGGCTTCCTGGCAGGGCTTCACGTGTGCAGGGAAGCTGTGCCTCCTAGTCGGCCCAGTGTGTGTGTCTTCATGCTTCTCTGTGTGTGTGGCTGTGGGGTAGGCAACCTGTGGTCGGGATGGCATGTGTTAGGGGTTTTGGGGGGAGCTCTGTGTGTGTGCTAGCGTGCGTACCAGTGCTAGGCAGTACACGAGTGTGTAACAGTGTGCCAAGTGCCCCTACTCTGCTCCCTGTAGCTACTCTGAGGGCCAGTGGGCTGATGATAAGTGTATGAATGTCATGTTGTCTGTGTCTCTGTGTCTGTGTGTGCATGTGTTGGGGCAGTGTGAGCTCTGTGTCTGTGTGTGAGTGTGTCCAAAGGGGAGCCAAGTAAGAATGCCTGTATGAGTGTGAGCAACAGCGCATGTCAGAGCAGGATGGTGTAGCTGGCTGTGACCACGGCGTGTATAAGGATGGCGCTTATGTGTGAGACAGGCACGGCAGTGGGTGTGGCCCTGCCTGGATCAAAGGTTTGGGGAATCTCTGTGTGAATGGCCAACGGCGCCATGTCCTTTCCTCCTGAGGGTGTGGATGTCTGTGGGAATGAGCACTTGGCAACACCAATAATGGACACTTGGACACTGTTCACCACGCGCCTGGCACAGGTCCTTTCGACAACTCTGAGGATCTGCTAATAACACAGATGGGGAAACTGAGGCACGGAGCGAAGTACCGGCCCAAAGCCACAAAAAGCACAGACCCCTTGTCCTTTCCATCCTGGACTGGGACCGGGCAGCCGCGGGGCCACTACTCTGGCCCACGCGCGCGCTCCTGCCCTCCCAAGCCACATTCCTACCCGCCTTCCGCTTGCACTTGCACCGCGCCGCGCGCATGCGCCGTTCGCGCACCCAGCCGTCCCAAACTCACTTGAGCTCGTGTACAACGGGCGAGGTTACCCGAGTGTCCCGACCCCACCCCGAAACCGTGTACACTGCGCAGTAGCACAAGTTGTATGGGCCCCAAGGGTATGCGTGTGTTGGGGATGGGGAGTGGGCTCCTACCAGAGCCGAATGCTCCTAACCCCAGGCTGCCGGGGTCAAAGGAACGCAGGCGGCCTGGCCAGAGCGAGGAGGACCCAAGAAATCAGGCGGCGGGAGCGAGAAACCTGAGCACCAGGCACCAAGAACACGCGTGCGGGCCAGGACGGCGCGGGGAGGAACCTGCGTGCTGGGGGTCGGGGGCGGGGCTGCAGGGAGGTGTTTCTCCGTGAATAGGCCCGGGTGGGGCGGGGCCACTGCTTTTCCAGCCCCGCCCCCGCCCCTCTATCCACGCCCTCTAGTCGGCTGAGACCGCCAGGGGGCGCTTTGGAAACGCGGAGCCGTCGGGGAGGAGACCCGGTGGGTTTGGGCTGGCTGTTGGGGAGCAACGCTGGGTCTTAGTGCCCAGGAGGGCACCACCGGGAGCCACGGGTGGGAAAGGGATCCCACTCAGGGCTCTGAGGCCAGATTGGAGGGAACTGCCACTTGATGGGGCCTCTGTGGACAGTGGTTGTCAGTCTTAGGATATCAGTTGCTGTCTTAGGGAAAAACTGAATTCAGTTCTTTGAAATGGCTTTTTCAAGAGACGCTTCTGTAGCTTTCTGAAAGAGGACCTGGGGCGGTACTAGGGGACTCCACAATCCTTAGTGGGATGGGGGAGTACTGTGACTCTTTATTGTCCCAAGGGGGTCTGGGGGCATCTTTGAGCCCCGGATTTACCCAGGATGCGCCGTCGGGGTCACTGCAGCGGGGGTGGGAAACAGCTAATTGAAGGCGGACCTGCTCTGAGGATTCCCTTCAGGGGCTTCCCTGGTGAGGGGACTTCTTGGGGCCTTGCTTTCCTAAAGGGGACCAGGCAGGATCCGGAGTCTGACAGGAAGGCCAAATCCTCAGGGGTGGGGGCGCTGAGAGCTGCGGGCACTGGCGTCGGGGCGCTGTGGTTTTATCCCAGGAAGGGCCGTTGGGGAGGAGGTGTCTTGGGACCCACTTTCTCACAGCAGCTCTGCTGGGCTCTCTAGGGCCCCCGGACATCGCCGTCTAGGGGGGCGCTGTGGCCCCCGCATCCCTGCCACCTGCGCTCCTCTGGCCCCATCGGGCGGGGGCGGGGAGAGGGCGGCTCAAGTCTC